TCGAAATTTAGATTGTTTCTCAACCCTATCGGGGCACGAATGATTTGGAAACCATCCGTTGCTAAATATTGGCGCCCCGATAGCTCCTACATAATGGCTAAATAGGTCACAACAACAGCGGTAAATCGTGCGAATTCAGCTCGTGCAAGATTACGATTTACAGCAATACGCTAGCAAATATATGTAAACGAATATCAGTACCATGAAGGTGAGTGATTAGTGGTCATAATAAGCTGAGGAACGTATACACTTGCTTCTTTATTTGTGGCAAATTTTGATGAGAAAAATCGGTTAAAAATGCGGGAATCGATTGTCTCACTCTTGTGTTATTATCTACTCTTGATATCATTTATACACAATGAATGACAGGTTTTTTGGGCCCAATCCTAGTTTAGCAACCAGGATTATTTTAGTATATATATATGTGAACTATACACACCGGCATCCCAAACTAGGATTGAGCAGATCTCTTGATGCATGTACGTTTCTCGGAGCTACGTGCGGTGGTGAGTCAGGGGGATTCACCATAATTGCTGTCACGTACCTCTTCGCTGGAAACTATGCGTGTGAGACTGCATCCCGGGATACCCACGCGTACAGACAGCAGTGTTCGAAATAAGGGTTATCCGTTTGTCCTCACTTGTCCATTTCCACGGAGGACAAGTAGACCTGTCCAGTAGCTTGTCCGCTGGACAAGCAGCTTTTTATAGCAATTTTTCATCATTTTCTACCATCGCTAAAAATAACTAAATAATTAATAAATAATTGTGCTTCTTTATGTTCTTTCAAGTTTGGTGCCTATAATTTTAACTGTTAGTGAACTGTATTAAAATTGCAAAGTAAGATACTGAGTCTAAAATTTAATTTTTTATTAAATGTATTAATTACACATTTACTATATTTCTATGTTATTAATCAGGACGAGCAAACATTTTGCAGGAAAAGCAAAACTATGTTGTAGCTTGTCTGTTGGACAAGCACAATTTTTTCCTTATTTTGAACACTGAGACAGTCGTGTGATTCATCCTACTGACGAACACGTGTTGATCGTTGGTGAGGCGTAAGCATTGCTGTGGTTATTTCAGCTGAGCATCAGAGATTTTAGCCAGTACGGGGATGCGTACAATGCAAACGGACACGGAGGCGCCTTTAAAAAGCTGAAGGTGAGAGAGTTGCAATAACAACGGATGCGAGTAGTATATAACGAGATGTTTTCAAAATAGTAGATGTATTGCAGCGTCTAGTATTAGGTGGTGTTATTTGGCATGTATTATGTTAATGCGTGTATACCACTGACTTTGTAAAAGGTTGGTAAGAGGTCTGTTGTCGTTTTGCTATGAATTTGAGTGACCTAACCATAAATACACATCATTAATAATGTCTGAGTAATGACAGATGGTAGAATCGCCCATATTCACCTCCGATCTGTATATAATTTCCTTGAGGTTATATCGCTATTTATGTGATAAATCGATGAACCAATGACGCGTAATTAACGCACAGGCGTTTCTCGATCAAAAATCGAAAAAATAATAAATTATAATAAATAAATAATAAAGCATAATAAATAAATGATAAATTATAATAATAAATCCAAATTATAAAAATTATAAAATAAAAATTTAATCGCGGCAGACATACCTGGACGACACGGAGTCACTGATGTTGCCGGCAGCGCAGACGCCTGCCGCCATCGTTCGAATCAAGCGACCTCCCGCGACAGCTTCCCCGGCCGCGTCGTTGCCCTCGACGACGGAGCTGCAGTCGACGGCGTCGTCGCCCACGGCAACACTCTGTACGTCGTGCGTCTGTGCGCGGCGACGATGGACCGGAGTCTCGCGGCGTAGGCGCCTGCCAGTGAAGGGGGGGGGGGGGGGGGGGGCGGTGGTCACCGCGCCGGGGCTGCTTGGCGTCGTGAAGCGCCGCGAATGAGACTCAGCTGCCCTGCTGGCTGTTTCTAAATTTGAGTCCAAGAAAGAAGACCGTCACCACAAAAGCCGGCGTTTGCCGTTGTTAAAATAGTGTCAAAATGTAATTATTCAGGACGACATGGGTCGTAGACAACATATTATTATGGCCCCCCTGTTTGCACCGAAATCAACCCAGTCACTAAAGTCGGCGGTGTCCGCGGAGAAAGCCGTGCGAAGGTGTGTAACGAGTTCCGAAAGCTGACCTCCGTACGCGCGTTCTTCGTAACTTTTCAGACGTAATCATCGGTAAGATGATTGACGCGTTGACCAACGAGGGGATTTCCTACACGGCTTTCACACCGATGCTCCGCGGGCGGAGCAGTGGTGAGGAGTGGAGGACAGCTCTCTTGATATATATACGCTCCTCCTTCTGTCTCTGTCTAGTCTACTCTCTCTACCTCACTCTCTCCTCCCTCGGCGTGCCCCTGCGTCCTCTCCGTCCCCTTCGTCTCTCTCCATCGCCGGTCCGGCCGTCGATCTCCTCTCTCTGCTCCGCCTCTCTGCCGGCTCGCGTCTGTCGTCTCCTTCCTCTCGCATCGCTCCTCTCTTTTCTCCTCTCGTGGCCGCTCAGTCTGCTCCTCGCCCTCGTCCAGTATCGCTTGTCCTGCGTTCTCGCCTACGTCGTCTTCCCTGTTCGTACCCTCGCTCGTTTCTCTCTCTTCCCGCTCCTCTCGTGTTCTTTCCTCTTATCCCTTCTCCCTCCCTCCTGTGTGTGTTGTGTCTCTCCTCCTCTCTCCTCTCTCCCCTCTCACTCTCTGCTCTCCCGGTCCCTCGCTCTCTCCCGTTCTCTCCGGCCGGCGTCCTCTCCCTGCTCTCTCTCTCTCTTGGTCTCTCTCTCTCTCCCTCTCCTCATCTCCGCTGCTTGCCGCACCTGTCGCGCTCCGCCACCCTCGGCTCCAGTCCGTCATCTCCCCGCCCGTGCTCTCGTCCCCGCCCTCCCTCTGCGCCAGCGCAGGAGTCTCCCCCTCTCGCCTCCGGTCTCCCCTAACTTCGTCTCGCCTGTGTCCCTCTTATCCCCCCGCTCTCATCCGGGTCCCGTCTCGCCTCCTCTCGCTCCTCTCTCCTCCGGCGCCTCTCTCCTCTCCCTCTTTCTCATCCTCTCGTCGCTCCTCTCCTCTCTTCTCCCTCTCGGGCTCGTCTCTCTCCCCCGCTCGGCTGTCCTCTCCGCTCTCCGTCCTCCCGCGTCCTCCGCCGCGCTCCCTCCTCTCCCCCTTCCTCTCCCCGCCGGATCCTCTCCTCTCCGTCCTCCCGGTCTTCTCTCTCTCTCCCGGGGTCATCTCTCTCTTCTCCGCGACTCTCGCCGTCTCCCCTCCGTCCGCCCGCCTCGCCTCCTCCCCCGCGCCACCCGGGCTCTCTCCCATCCCTCCCTCTCTCCGGCGCTCCACGATTCCGTCGTCTCCCGCCCCCCCCCACCTCCCTCTCTCCCCTTTTCATCCTCTCTCTCCTCTCCTCTTCTTCTCCTCCTCCCGACCTCTCTCTGCTCCTCCCTCATCTCATCTCCGAGTTGGTCGCGCTCGCTCTCGCCTCTCTCCTCGTCTGCCCTCTGCTCGGTAGCGTCTTGTCTCTCTTCGTCTCTTCTCTTCGCTCGTCCCCTCTGACGTCGGCACCCTCTCATCTACTCGTGCTCCCCTCCCCCCGTCCCTCTCCCTCGTCTCTCTCCGCCTCCTCCTGTCTCTGCTCTCTCTCACTCTCTCTCTCTCCCTCTCCCTCCTCCTCCCACCTCCCTGCAGTCTCTGTCTCTCCGCTCTCCCTCTCGCGTTCTCTCCTCCCCCCGGCTCCTCGGCGTCAATCACTCCTGAGCACTTTGTTGCGACTGAAGTCTCTGCGATTGCCTCCTCCTCTCTCCTCTCCTCACTCCTCTCCTCCGTTCGTCCCGCTCTCTCTGTCAATCATGGGTGGAGGTGGTGGTTCGGGCCTAATGCTCCGCAATTCTCGGGAAATCGGGTGCCACCGGAAATTCTGGCGGCGAAAGAAGTTCAAAAAAGGAAAACCAGACGCTGGAAAACTGTAAAACCAAGGTGTTCTTTCTTCCTCTAACATCATTTTGGGGAAAGCCGAATGTGGACCGAAGTGAAGGGTGGAATGGGATAATTCGGCTATCACGTCTATCCACAGTATCATTTGTTCGGCGGGCATCGGCTTCACGCCACCCTCTCCTGTCGGCTCCCCGGGGCTCTCTGCGCTCTCATGTCCCTTCCACTCTCCTCGCTCAGTCTCTCTCTCTCCCCTTCTCGGTCTCCGGACCTCTTCCCTCGCGGTGTTCGTGTGGCCAGGGGAAGTGAACTAGTTGCACCCCCGCAAGTGTGTCGAGGGATCCAGAGTTCTGTCTCTACGTTGACTCCACTACGCGTCCCAGTGAAGTAGGCCGGTCCTTACCTGTGGGGGTCCAGAGCAAGTCGGACAGGAGGCGTTTGTCAGGCGTCTCGG